ACTAGCATTTATCCCCTCCACTGTTTTTCATGGAAGATTTGTATGAATTTATTGTGGGCCAAAGCAATTTATACGCACAACAATACATTGCCACCCACCTGAATTCAGCTAATGTGAGACAATTCCCATGGAAACCTATCATGGCTTCTGAATTTAAAATTTTTTTGGGCCTAACCCTCAACATAGACATTACAAAAAAGAATGAATTGCGGTCATATTGGTCCACAGAGCCAATTCCCGTGTACCCGTGTTCTCTGCTGTTACATATATGCCCAACGTGGACCAGAAACGTACTGGTACATCACTGGACTTTGAGTGGTTATACTGGGATGATGCCTTTAGCTACAGGCATCATCCTAGTATCGTTTTCCTCAGCTGGTGGTCAGCTTTCATTTAAAAACAATCCTAGCCGCTACTTAGCCACTGGACTTCTTTTACAAGCATCTGGAAGTGACTCCCCCCCACCGCCTTCCTAGGTTTCCCCCACCGGGGAACCCAAAAATGCAGCTGGCAGTTCCGCTGGCTGACAATAGAACTGATAGGAGACTTGAATGCCTCCAATCATCACTATGGTTTAAGAGACTAGAAGCTACGAGTATTTCATCATTTCAGTTTTGCCAGATATAAACAGCGCCATTTTAAAATTGGGAAAGCATGTGATCACACCGGTTTTTGGTGTGACCAGATTCTTTAAGGACAGAGGAGAGATCTAGAGTATAATAGATCCCAGATTTCTCAGAAAAGAGTACCTGTCATTGCCTATTGTTATCACAGGGGATATTTACATTCCCTGTGATAACAATAAAAGTGATTGAAAAAAAAACTTAAAAGTACAGTGTAAAAATTTATTTAAAAAAGCAAAATAAATAATTTAACCACTTCCAGACCAGACACTTTTACCCCCTTCCTGACCAGGGCAATTTTCAGCTTTTAGCGCTATCACACTTTGAATGACAATTGCGCGGTCATGCAACACTGTACCCAAATGAATTTTTTACCATTTTTTTTAGATAGATAAAGCTTTATTTTGGTGGTATTTATTCACCACTGGGATTTGTATTTTTTTTGCTATGTAAATGAAATGTCCAAAAAAATTTTAAAAAAGTGTTTTTTTTATAAAATTTTGCAAATAAATAATATTTCATCGTAAATCTTAGCCAAAATTTATTCCGTTATCTTTTTAGTAAAAAAAAAAAAAATCCAAATTAGTTTATAAGCAAAAATTATAATTTTTAAACATTTTTTTTTACATTTTTTTTTTTTTTTTATATTATTTTTTATTTATTTTTTTTTTTTTACATACTGTCACCCTAGCAGTACAGTGTCACCATGGTGACACTGTACTACTTGTGAGGGGTGATAAAGATTTTTTTTTTTTTTTTTTTTTACACTGATTGCTTTTACACCCATATAGGATGTAAAAGCAATCATTCTCTTTCTCTCTGTGTGCATTCCTGCACTCATTGAGAAATACAGAGTGAGCTGTGATTGGTCACAGCTTGTCACATGGTACAAGGCTTTTGTGAATAGCCTTGTACCATGTGACCTCTGTGATCATTCACAGATTTCACACATAGTAAGCAATGATGTCACAAGTGACATCTTGCTTACTACTTTGCATGTGATCACTGATTGGCCAATCAGTGATCACATGATCGGGACCTCGTACAGAGGTCCCGTCCGACGATCGGTGTTTCACTGTGTCCGGAGGACACAGCGGGCACCGGATCGCGGTGCTGCGTGCTCCCAGGGAGCGCGCACAAGCAGGGTGCGGGGAGGCCGTTTATAGACGGCCACCCGACCCTGCAGTGCCACCGTCCGGCCGTTTATATACAACGGCCGGTCGGGAAGTGGTTAAAAAAATAAAAATTCACCCCCATCTCTGTGTTCGCGCACGAAGGCAAATGCATGTACAAGCAGCAGTCCCATGGCAGTATATAAACAGAGATTGCACCATTCATGTGAGGTATCACCGTGAACGTCAGATTGAGTGCAGTAACTCTAGCACTAGAACTTCTGTGTAACTCTAAAGTGGTGACCTGCTTGGTCTTCAAGTGGTTAAAGTGTGGGTGATGTGTGGCATAAGCTTTTAATGTTGGCCCTGAAATGCCAGGATAGTAGAAGAAACCCCCCCCCCCCCCCCCCGTTCCCCAAATGACCCCTTTTTGATAAGTAGACACTCCAAGGTATATGCTAAGAGGCATGGTGAGTATTTTGCAGAATCTCATTTGTTGCCACACTTTTGGAAAACGAAAATGTATTTTTTCTTTTCTTTTATTCTTTTTCAACACCATAACAAAAATTATATCTGCAAAATACTCACCGTGCCTCTTATCAAATTCCTTGGGGTGTCTACTTTCCAAAAAGGAGTAATTTGGGGGGGTGTTTGTAGTATCTTCACATTTTAGGGCCTCCACAACTGTAATAGGCAGTGAGGAAGTGCTATGAGGAAATATGCCCTTTGAAAGCCTAGAAGTAGTCATTGGCTTTTGGGGGCCTATATGTGGTTAGGCTGCCAAAAATTCTCTCACATGTGGTATCCTCATACTTGGGAGAAGTAGCAGAATGTGTTTTGGGTTGTTATTCCACATATACCCATGGCATGTGTGAGCAATATATCATTTAACTGACAACTTTGTGTAAAAAAAAATAAAATTTTCCAAAAATTTGTGGCAAAAATAAAATGCTCCATAGGCTCAAAATGCCTCTCAGCAAATTCCTTGGTGTCTACTTTCCAAAAAAGGGTTATTTGGTGGTTTTTGTACTGCCCTGGCATTTTAGCACCTCAAGAAATGTGATAATATATACCGTATTTTCCGGCGTATAAGACGACTGGGCGTATAAGACGACCCCCCTACTTTTCCTGTTAAAATGTAGTGTTTGGGCTATACTCACCGTATAAGACTACCTCTCTTCCAATGCACACCAGTGGGAAGAATCGTGCCCCATCATTATTATCAGTGGGAGGAATAGTGCCCAGTCATTGGTGTCAGTGGCAGGAATAGCACCCTATCATTGGTGTCAGTGGGAGGAATAGCACCCCATCATTGGTGTCAGTGGGAGGAATAGCGTCCCATCATTGGTGTCAGTGGGTCAGTGGGAGGAATAGCACCCCATCATTGGTGTCAGTGGGAGGAATAGCACCCCATCATTGGTGTCAGTGGGAGGAATAGTGTCCCATCATTGGTGTCAGTGGGAGGAATAGCACCCCCATCATTGGTGTCAGTGGGAGGAATAGCACCCCATCATTGGCGTCAGTAGGAGGAATAGTGCCCCATCATTGGTGTCAGTGTGAGGAATCGTGCCCCATCATTGGTGTCAGTGGGAGGAATAGTGTCCCATCAGTGGTGTCAGTGGGGGGTGGAATAGTGCCCCATCATTGGTGTCAGTGGGGGGGGGAATAGTGACCCATCCTTGGTGTCAGTGGGGGGGAGGAAAAGTGCCCCATCGTCTGTGTCAGTGGGAGGAATAATGCCCCATCATTGGTATCAGTGACACCAATGATGGGGCACTATTCCTCCCACTGACACTTGCTGACCCCTATTCAGTGTGGTGCTGCTGCAGCAAGCATATATGGTTGCAGCAGCACCTGTGCACGGCACACTTACCTTCACTTGATTTTCGCGGGGCCGCTCGGCTCCGCCTCCTCCCCGGTGATTGGCCGCCTGTGTGCCTTTCCTGAGCTACAGTTCTGGCGGCCAATCACCGGTGAGGAGGCGGAGCCGAGCAGCCGCACGAATATCCAGTGGCCGAACTGAAGGAAGGAGCAGCTGCGCTTCCTGGACCAGATCGTCGTGGGACGGAGCCAGGTAAGAAACAGAAGCCCCTGCCCACCCCTGTACTTAGTTTCACTTCTGTTGGAAGGGGGGGGGCGGCGGCGGCACCGCACCGCCCCCCTAAAAAGTGTCAGCATGCCGTATACCGGCGTATAAGACGACCCCCGACTTTTGAGAAGATTTTCAAGGGTCAAAAAGTCGTCTTATACGCCGGAAAATACGGTATGTATTGCGATTTTTTTCTACCAAAGACATGCAGCAGAATACATTTTGGCCTAAATGCGAAATCCACAGGATGGATCAGATTTACGGAATGAGCATAATGGATCAGAGTCCGATCCATTATGCTCCCCAACCCGCAGATCCGATCCATCTTGTGGGGATCGTCGGCTTGCTTTACAACTTACCTTTGTCACCCCATATAGGTTGCATGCCGACGATCCCCGCAGGATGGATCAGATCTGCAGATTGCGGAGGATAATGGATCGGACTCTGATCCATTATGCTCAATCCGCAGATCCGATCCATTCTGTGGGGATCGTCGGAGGGGGTGTCACCAAGTGTTATCGCACCGGGTGACACCAACCCTAGGGGCGCCCCTGCTTACATGTATATATCTATACATTTGAATCACTGGAAATGACAAGCAACATTTAATCAGGAGGACTACAAGCTCCAGCATGACTTCCTATGCCCCACCAATAGTGTGAAAGACTCTTATTTCACCATAAGAGTCCATTAACCTCCCTAGCGGTATGATTATTTCAGATTTTTGGTGCTGAAAGCGGTTGGGGTACTATTATTTTGCATGGAAATATGTTGTTTTTTTATTGTAGGTTGTAACATTTAGGAATAACTCACTGAAATCTGTCCGAACAAGAGTCTATTTAACATCCCGGGTATGATAAAATTTGAAACACGAAATCATAAATTATAATTTAATAAATAATCATAAAAAATAATAATATAATAATAATACATTTAATTCAATAATATAATCAAACCAAAAACACTGAAATTTGAAATAGAGCGCCAAGTTCGCACATCACTGAGCAAAGTCACAAAATCGTTTTCAGTGTCTGATGACGAATTTCCCCACAAATCATTATCACTCAATTCTGCAAGTCGTTCTGATTTACTATCGCTGTTCTCTAGCTGATCTAAACCCGCTTTTGACCTAAAGGGACGCTTTTTGGACTCCATGGACTTTTCTAATTTTCCAGGCAGAAAGAACAGACAAAATGCAGGCAGGGCACAGGACAAAGCACTAGGGACAAATTGTATGTGAAATAGTTTGAAACAGCAATGTTTTACTATGTAAAATTTGTTTAGAAAAAAATGAAATTTTTTAAAGTTTTCAAATTTCCCACCGGTTCCGGCGCCCGTACGTCCCGACGTCACAGGGACCGGAACACAGAAGACGGATGCCGTCATCGGCCGGAGGAGATGGTCGGGGACGTTGCAGGGGACACATCGTGGGAGGGAAGGACAAGGTAAGCTCTGCAGGGAATCCCTATGCAGTGCCGCATGTATTCCCGAGTGTAGCTCGGGGTTACCGCTTTTGGTACTGAAATTTTACCCCGAGCTACACTCGGGAATACCGCCAGGGAGGTTAAAGTTGGTGAGTGACGGGACACACAGGTGGGGAGTACAGAGCACTTATCACCTTCTGGATGTGAAAGGGATTTTTGTTCACTTGATTTCACATTTGGGACTTTATTTCACGATTTATTGTTATGTGTTCATTATTTAAGCATGTTTTTCATGTTATATAACATACATTGAGGCAGCACTCCTGCTATTTTTTGTATTATATTTCAGGGTATGTAGTAGGCAAACTTACTATTTTGGATGTCCTCTATATTATATACTGTATGTCTTAAAAAAACGTAATACCTTTTTCCACAACTCAATTCCCCTTTAAAGCATAATTAAAATCAAAACTTTTTTTTTATAGAGTGGAGAGGGATTAGAAACACTGCTAGTTTTTATTGCTGTCTGTGTCCCCGCTATGAGATTCACCCTCCCTATTTGTCCTGTTTACCAGTGTAATTGAAAGTGAGAGTAAAAGAAAATTTTGGGCTTTCCCCAGAAAAGTAATAGAGGGGAAATGTTCCAATGGAGACACTAGTTCTACTGACCTGGAGGGGGTCCCCGAGGAATTCCCTTCATTTGCAGGGATTTCCGCTCACTTCCTGTTTGGCTAGGGGACAAAAAATGAAGGGAAATCTTCACAATGGGGCACAAATGGTGAAAAGAAAAAATTGCCAGGGGTTATGACCCTCCCTTACTCTAATTAGAAGTAAAAAAAATAAGTTTTGCCTGTAGTTCTACTTTAATTGTGATTCAAGGTGTACGGGGCTAACAGGCCTATTTAGACTGCCCTGCGTTAAATAATTTTCCACCCAAAATACCTATCTTGCACTTTTGTCCAAAACATACATATGCACACATATATACAGTACATACTCTATTTGACTCTCATTATTTATATTGTGCAATAAATAACTGCAAGTTTATATCAAGATATGTATTTTTACAGTAAGTAACAAATGGTTTTGTAAATATTTATTATTATCACCCAAGCAGAAAGTGCTCCTATTTAAAATAGGCAGTTACCACATAAAGCATTCATCTTTCTGAAAATAAAAACAGTTAATGACAAAAAGAAAAAACAGTTAATCTGAAACAGGGTGAATAATATGGTTCTCTATTCTAATGAAGAAGGGAAGGTGATAATTCAGCATTGTTTTATGAATATACATTGTATTTATCTATAATTGATTTTCACTGAGCCATTAACATTGATAATTGCATGCTCAGCAGTAATTCTGCAGATTCCCTTTGATTTTCAATTACATTTTATAGGACAGTCACACATCTTGGCTCATCTCTAATTAGTGACTTTTCTCTTCCCAGACTCTTCTTCTATTAGAGATGTAAGTGGTTTTGGATAACAGAGTCTTAATCAAAGCTGGCGGTAAGCCAGGGCATAAGCTGAAGCCTTCAATTGGACATTCAAATTCAAGGGCGCTGATACAGTATGCTATATGAGAAAAAATTTTGTCTACTTTTTTCTTCATTTTAAAGTAGGACTATAGGCAAAAAATGTTTTTTTTTTTTCATTTTGGAAAAAGCAAGGGAAGGTTATAGTCCCTGTCATATTTTTTTTTAAGCTATCTGTGTCCCATTGTTGAGATTTCCCTTCACTTACTGTCCCATAGCCAAACAGGAAATGGGAGGAAATCCCTAAAAATTAAAGGAATTTCAGGGGGACCCCCAGGTCACTAGAACTAGTGTCTCCATTGGAAGAGTCCCCCTCTATTACTTTCTGGGGACAAATTTGGGATTTCATTTACTTTCACTTTGATAATGGTAAACAGGGTAAATAGAAAGGATAAATCTCCTTAACAGGGTCACAGACAGCAATAAAAAGTGCCGGTGTTCTAATCCATCTGCACTCTAGCCAAAACCGGAAAAAAATGTTTTGCCTTTAGGTATATATTAAATATAAAGCTTTATTAGAAACACATCACAAATCCCAACAATGCAAATTATGTTACAAATGTATATCACAACATTACAATTAATATCTAAAGTAACATCTAAAGTTATGACCTAAAATGTTCTAGCAGACCTTTCCCTGAGATACCCTATGTAATTCCACATATAGTCATACTGTGATGTGGTGTCTGACCGGGTGGAGAATTGATGTCAACAGGTCTGAAAGTTGTATTTAGGTTCAAGAACTTGGTGTATGGAGATTGGAAACTTTAGTTTAGTAAGTAATTGTATGGAAGGAGGGTTGTAATGGCAGTGGTAATGGAGTAAAAAAAAAGAGTGGGGGTGGGGGTAGTTAGTACAAAAAAGAATAGCAAAAAGAAAGGGATGGGTGATAGGGCTTAAGTAGTGCATGAATATGATGACTTGAAGACAAGCTATGGGGTTCATATGAGTCAGAATAATTATTTTTGATTTTTGAGGTGGTGGTTAGGTCTTTAAGTTTATTAATCTAAATATTGTTGTCATTCAGAGAAGTATATTAGGGGAGTGTTTGCTTCCAGCTAGCCTGAATACATGACCTGGCGGCAAAGTTTTAATGAGGTGGACATTCCAGTGTACAATACATGCAGCTGGATTGGTACCTAGGCCCAAATTGGTAAATTCCTGGATTACCACCTAAACAATATTCCAGAAGAGAGCTATCTACACAACCAAAATATTTGTCAAAAAGGAAATGGAATCAATGCAATATTTTCAAATAAATAAAGAAGAAAAGTTGGTTTAGCTCATAATTCAATTACTCAGTTGAGCCTGTTGTGAGCCAATCACCTTGAGTAGGGTAAATATGTTTGTGTAGGACTAATATACATATGTAGCATGGTACTGTGTTCTGATTTGTAAAGCCAACATGCATCCGAAATCTGTTTTTATAGTTTATAAAGTGCAGTTAGGACCCAGTGATACAGTGGTCAGAATCTTATATCAATATTCAGTGTACTTGCTGTAGAAGATGCATGGTCTAGGCAGATTAGATAGACATAACTTTTGTTCAAGAAGCTGGGGGTGCCCAGGTCAGTTTGATTTTTGTTTGATTTCTGAAAAAAGGTGAAAAGCGGTGAAAGGGGTGTTCTTGGTTGTAAATTGTTTAATTCATCTACATCTTCATCTTTATTTTTATCTTCAACTTTATCTAAATTTGTTTACTTTACAGTTAACATTCATTAACTACAAATAAAATTGAGCAAAAAGGCACATACTTGCTTCTTTGTACAATTCAGGTAAAGATGTACACATTAAGGCTGCTACAGGGATGATTATAAGTAGCTCAATCACACTACAAAAAGTAGAGAAGCATTTTACAAATTAGTAGTTCTCACAACTGTTACTGTGTACCCTCAGGAACTGTCCCACATCTTATTTCTCCATATTACTGTTTAGTTTTTCTGTTTAATAATTCTCAACAGTTCATCTAGGCCTATAAAAAGTCTTTTTACTTTATTTATCATTCTCACTGCCATATTTACTTTGTTTGCATCCAGCTTAGCGTGACTGGGATATTTATGAAATTATATTTTGTAATGCATTCTCTCATTTGTTATTTTTGTCACCTGAGTGACACATATGTAGAGATTAAAATTATTGAGTTGTGTGAACTCAGATTTTACCCAGTAGAGAATGCCCTATTCTGGAAAGAATGGTAATACTAAATGAACTACCATTTGTTACCAGAAGAGATATAAAGCTAACCATATACTGTACAATGGGACTGAACAATCTCCTTTAGACATACCAAAAATATGCGGCGCAAAGGCTTAATAGAATAGTTTTGGGTGTGTCTTTTCTATTACATTGTTTTGGAACACAACTTTTTTTTTGCATTTTGGGGCTGAATTACTAAAGGTCAATAGGCTGTGTTTACATTACAAGGTTATTTTCCCTTAACTTAGAGAATAAGGTGGAGCTCGGATCTCCACCATCCAATCAAGTACAAGCAAAATTTTTTATGTCCATGCACATGAGTGATAATCTTTGCAAAGCAGAGCAGCCCATATACCTTTACTAAATCAACTTATTTGAGTCTGTTTTATGAATGTAATCAACTTTGAGGTCTACACAACCCTGAGTGGTGCACAGTTGAATTGCATAGCTTAATCTCCTATGTGAGTTTAATCACCATTACATACCACTTGTGTAGCCCTATGCATTGGGGGCTATTTATTTTGTTTTGAGTTTGATCACTACCCCTTAGGAAGAAATCACTAGCAATGTTAGCAGTACCTGTGTAGCTACAGCCTAAAGCAGCTACTTGCTCCATGAGCGAATGAGACAAAAAAATGAATTAGACAATGCCTCTACCTACATATGGTTAATATCAGAAATTTAACATGGGCATTTTTTATTTTTTTAAATGCATTTTAAGATTAAAACACTTATTGGCTGCAAGTAACGTTTGGGGACAGAGAAACTATTCCCATCAGATCTTTTCCCTGCTCTTGCATCTTATCCTAATCGGTGTTTATGATGGGCAACATAGTTAAATTCCTTTCTTGGATCATTCATAGTAAGAAGTGTAAAATCCATCAGCAACTGTTTGAAAATGCCATTTAGCTGAGCGAGAGGTGTTACAGGGTTTGGGGGCAAAAGTTAGGCTTCTTGAAAGTGAATATATCCCCATGGGGTTCTAGACAATTGCAAGACAACAGTGACCTTGTAGTCTATAACAATCTGTTCCTACTTACCACTCCCCTCCACTTTACCTTTCACCCCCTTCTTTTCTTTTTTCTTTTTGCTTTTACATAGTTAGTCTGGCTCCAAAAAGACAAAAGTCCATCCAGTTCATCCCAAAAAAAAAATTATAATCCTATACCCACAATTGATCCAGAGGAAGGCAAAAAAAAAAAAACCCAGCACAGCATGATCCCCGAGAGGCAATCGGATATTCCCTGGATCAAATATACCTATAAATGTTAGTATCCAGTTATATTCTGTGCATCTAGGAAAGAATCCAGGCCTTTTTTAAAGCAATCCACTGAGCTGACCAGAATCAACTCTTGAGGGAGTCTATTCCACA